CTCTCTCTCTCTCTCTCTCTCTCTCTCTCTCTCTCTCTCTCTCTCTCTCTCTCTCTCTCTCTCTCTCTCTCTCTCTCGCGTCACCTGCGGTGCCTCGGAGTCCCAAGGGTGCTAACTAAACAGCAGTTTCATAGCTCTCTAAACCAAAGCTTCGCCCACGAGACCTCACCCACAGCAGGGCGATGGGAAAGGAAACAAAGCTGAAGGGAAGGAAATAAATTTGGAGAAGTACCCATCAGCATGAGGAATAAAGGCAGGCACCACCGTGCACGTGGGACACGTGACTCTCTGCAAACGTAATCTGCTGTCACAGGAGACACACGTGGAAAGCCGGGCTGGATCCCGACAAGTAGAACGCACGAAAGAAACTCAAACACACCAACCACCCCCAACCCCCATACCCCCGCCGCAAATTCTGATAGCGGAACTCCCAATTAGGATGTCAAACGACTCTCTCTCTCTCTCTCTCTCTCTCTCTCTCTCTCTCTCTCTCTCTCTCTCTCTCTCTCTCTCTCTCTCTCTCTCTCTCTTTGCGTCTGTGTGTGTGTGTGTGCGGCGCGCGCTCCCCGACACACACAAGCACATATTCTCGATCGATCCCGATCCCGATTGACCCGGACCACTCACAATATTCGTATATTCGTAAGTATTTATGCAACTATCTTATCCATCTTCCAATCCGTCCTTCCTGACCGTACGTTTATTTTTGCCCGTGCACACGCTGGTACTGGCTGGCTGGCCTTTCCAATGCCAGAGCTGAGAGTCCACCTTCTCCATAGCAAATCAGGGACCAACCACCGACCTGCTGACACGATGGACCGATTTTGGAGAGGACGTGCCATCGGGAGTACCTTGTAGCATCAATTGATCACGTCCATCCATGAGCAGCAACACTGCGTCCCCCTGCAACGAAAGACCCTTTCCTTCATCGTAGTCAGCATCACCTCCCATAACCCCCTCCTTGTGTGTGACAGCGAGACAAATCGCGGGTGCACGATAAGCTAACACGAGAGAGATGGAGACAAGGAGAGAGAGAGAGAGAGAGAGAGAGAGAGAGAGAGAGACTCAGAGAAAGTGAGAGAGAGGGGGGGTGAGAGAGAGAGGGGAAGAGAGAGAGAGAGAGAGAGAGAGAGAGAGAGAGAGAGAGAGGAGAGAGAGAGAGAGAGAGCTTCCCGATGAGAGTTGTTGTGTGCGTGTCTGCTCCAGCCTCAGTGGTTCCCGGTGTATGGGAGACGAAGCACAGACGGAAGCGTGCGTGCGTGCGTGCTTGCGTGCGTGCGTGCGTGCTTGAATGTGGGTGCGTGTGTGAGCGCAACAGTACAAGGCCAAGAGTAACAAACCATCTCCGGCAGGCCGAGCACCTCTACTGCCTTGCCCCGTAATTTCACACTCACGAGGTGATGCGACGTGGGCCTGAAACGGCGCCTGGGCTTGGATACCGCCTGGGCCCTACGGGGAAGTCCTGGGCCCTACGGGGAAGTCCTGGGCCCTACGGGGAAGAGTCCTGGGCCCTTTTCAAACTTCACAAACTTGTCCCGGGCCATTTTGGGGAACACCTGGGACAAAAAGTGTGGGCTAAGTGCGGAATAACAGTAAGGTAGGTAACCTAATTGCCTTTTTAGATATGCCCAAACTACTACCGGCAGCGCTATCAGAATGTCCGCTCAAGTTATTCCTTTTGCTTTTTTCCCTAGAAGTCAACATGTTCCTCACGGCTTCGAACCCGGGCCTGTCTTTCAATAGCTCAGGGGTGTACCAACTGAGCCAGCCCTGCCAATGTCCGCTCCCCTTTCAGACAGCCGATTGGTGGGAGATTTGCAACACAACCAACAGAATTGGAGATGCTCGGATGCGTTGTGTCTGACAGAAGAATTGGAGATGCTCGGATGCGTTGTGTCTGACAGAGCGATTTCGGCTCAAGAACAATGGTATGGTTCCCAATCAGCCCTGCAGCTCAGCCGCTTTTTGCAGTCCAGTGCTACACAAGGGTGCTGTCCTTCTCTCCAATGAAACAGTAAAGAAAACGGGGGTCCTCCACCTACCTGCATGGTCCCAGGGCCTTTGCCAGAGTGCCTCCTGATCACAATGTCTGACAGAAATGATAGTGACACAATAGTTGTCATTGCACAATGGTTTTATGGTGATAGTAGCAGCTCAAGACTCTGGCCAATAGGATACTAGGATAGACTATAAAAAGTGCTGAACCAGCGAAGGGGATTCTGCAGACTGTCAAGGGTTCAGCCCCTTGATGAGAGAGTCAGACAGAAGAATCTGTCACCACACTCCCTTTGATGCCCCCTCTCCCCCACTTTTCTACCTGATAACATAAATGCGCATGCATATACAGTCACACGAAAAAGAACGGCCACCTGGGACAAAGAAAGAGATGCTTTGGGGAGGAGAGAGTAAAACCACCAGTACTTGGCCCATACATCGACCGCGGGCCCACAAGCGCAAGTATCGGAGGCCCGAAACGTGATGTGGGCCATTAATGAAATGGATCGATGGCCCGCGCCGGCCCCAAAACTTGCGCTCATAAACAAGAGTGCTATCTTCCTCAAGTGGGGCCGAGTACTGGTGGTTAGACTAATGCCTTCGCTTTTTTTTTTTTTTTTTCAACCACCACTACCTCTGCCACTCTTGGGAAAAATGGGGAAACTGGCAGTTTTCCCACTTTTTCCAAACTTCTCGGGGGTCTGAGGAGGCTCGGCGATTGGGCGTTGTGGGCCTGTTCGAAAAACAAAAAGAAACCAAAAGACCAAGGGCCTCGTTCGACACCACTTGAAAATACTTGAGTTTCAAGGGCACCCTAACTCACGGAAGGTGATTAATTTCCCCTAACTCGTTTTTTCGTTCCACAACCCCTTGACGAAACCCTTGAGACGGCCATCCTTGAAACTGAAGTACTGACGTCATTGCACCACGAACAGTGGTGATTGGTGAAAAAAAAAAGAAAAAAAGAAAAAGGTCCGTAATATACCCGTTTTGAAGGGTGAAACCCTTGCACCCCAAGTGACCTCCCGAGGCACCCTCGGGATTTTCGTCGATTTGCCTGGGCTGCACTTCCTTTTCAAGGGCGGACACTTGGCCGCGAGGATGTGGAAACAATTAGTGACTTCAAGGGTGCGTGATTAGGGCGGGGTAGAACGATGCTTCCTTGAAAAACAGCAATTTCCAAGTGGTGTCGAACGAGGCCCCAAGTCGGGGAAGGCCGTGCACCAATTTGTGCTCACACCAGAACTCACAAGAAAGTATCTAAAAGTACCTAACCACTATTGTGGTCAGTTTCAGGTTTCCGTTGTTCGTGTTTTTTTTTTTCTTCTTCTTTTTTGTTTTGGTGTCCCTGCTAGGGAGGCAGAGCGCAGTCCGCGGGCTGCTGACACTTCATGGAGGTGGGCATGCCCACACTACTACTTTGCAGAATGTATGAACCCGCTTTCCCGCCCTAAGTTCAGTTTCAAGTTTTTTTTCCTTTTCCTTTTTTCGTGAACTTTACACCCCTGTCGCAACACCCTTATTGAGGGCATACTCACACAACTACTTTAGGGTAGGTATCTACCTGGTATCACGTCCAAAGGGGTATTTGTTTTTTTTTTCACTTTTTAGTGGTTGTGAGCGGGTCGTTTTTTTTTAAGTATAATGACCTTCTATAAGGAGATGCTACCCAAATTTTTACTAACTGACTTCGAATGTGGACTAGATAACACATTGGATAGTACTTTCCTATAGGAAGTAATGCCCAAATTTTTGTTAATTAAGGCGTTGGATGAAATTTTGGTCTTTTGGAGTTAGAAATTTTATGGGTTTTTAATATTTAGTCTTATGTAAATTCTATGAAGGCACTTTTCATACGGGAAGTGCAGCCGAAATTTCCTGAAAACTAGGGGAGTTATAATATTTAATGACCTTTAAAATCTCCACAAATTACCCCTGCCTAGGGGAGACGCTGCCGAAATTCTTGATATTTTTATATAAGTGTCAAAGATAAGGTAGGAAGGTAGGATTATTCTATACTCACTCAGGCATAGCTTGGGCACTGGCCTGTGTTGTGTCGCATATCATTTTTTATTCAGGTTGATTCGAGATTTATGATTCCACGATGATCGTCATCTGTTATTTTTTTATAACAGGCCGGTTTATGATTCAATTTCAACTCGCTCTTGCGACTCAACCAAAAACCTTAGCCCTTGTGGGTTGGGTTATTTCTTTGGATTTTTACCCAAACTTTTATTAATGGTAATTTAAAAAATGACTGGGTGTTTTTTTTTTGGAAGGTTAGACAAAGGTTGCGGCTTGTGTGAATAAGGCAAGGGGTGTGAGTTTACAAAGTGGTAAAAGTTTACCCCGTAGTGCGTGGTATGTCGATGTTGAATCTGCATGTGACTGCATGTATGTTTTGTGATTTGAAGTCAGGATTTGACCTTATCTACGATTACTCTTATATTTGGAAGGAAGTCACACTGTGATTATGAGAGTGATCACCTTGTGCCCTATAACCCCACTGTACATACATTTTGTATTCGCGCATCCTATTTTTGATTGTGTGTGAGGGTTGAGCGGATTTAAATTAATAAAAAAAAACGAGAGACCTCTTAATTTGTTTGTTAAACTTCTATAGTTGGACGTTGAGGTCCGTGGCCGCTGTCAAAGTCAAACCCCTTTACCTGTTTCAGGCATCCGAAGATGGAGGCCCATCCCTAGAGTCAAAGGGCGTTTGACCCCCACAAAGGGTCGAAACCCGCCTACCACTCCTCTCAACAGTGTGCAGAAGAGGGTATGACTCACAATTGCTTTCACGATTGTCTAGCGCCATGAGATTAACCCATCAAAACGCATGTCAACCGACACTTGAGTGTTAAAAGCTACCCTCAAAATCATTGAGGACCGCAAGATTATGGGTACCACATAGTACGTCATCAGAGTGATGGCTTACATATTCATGCATAGCTAGTCGATATGGTAAAGATGGCATCACCACGCTATTTATCAATAATTTGCACCTGTCACCCACATACGTGGCCATCAAAAGATTATAGGCCGAAAACAAATAACGAGCTAGGGGCGATTTACATACAAAACTCGATTTTTATTTTGTGATGTGTGTCGTGTGGTTAGATTGATCATCCTAGTCAACCGACGTCGGATCGTATTCGGGATATCAACGCCTCGGCCGACGATCCACGCACGGGTTTGATTCGAGTGTTAGCCGCGCGTACCCACTATGCTATAGAGAATGAGAAACATCCTCGGCTGACCCACCTCTGCGACCGCAGGTAATAACTCTCGCATGTGGATTAGTAGCTCGACGAGAATACGACCACATAAGGTATACTGACAGCTCCCGTGAGTGGAGATAAGTTGTACCTCGCCTGATCCTATACTGTCATAAGGCTTCACGAGAGGTATGGTTGACGCACTCGGCCGGAGCAGCAACGCTCTTCGCGACAAGTCCTGCAAAATTCTGCGTGACACGGTCAGGGGGGTTCCCCTAGGGGACCGATGCGCATGACAGGTGGTGCCGTTGCCGATTATCTCGGCAGCTTACCAGGGTCCTTAAAAAAAGAACCCATCTTATTGGCAGGTTGATGATCCTAGCAAAACGATAACTTTTACTGATTTGCGATACATGGGTGAGTATGATTAACGTATTGATTGGTTGTATCAGATTAAATTGATAAATCGAGATGCGCGATAGAAACACCTGGGTACTTTGGCACCTAGTAGAGACAACCGCAGTTATAAATTTGTGGATCGAGGTACCATAGAGTTATTCGGATGATGCTATGCGTATCTAATGCATGAGGCCGACCGCCGTTTGCGTTGATGCTACTCTGCATATTCGGTTACCCGAGCAAGGGTCTTTCGTACCTACTAAAGCCGCTAAGATACCTAAGTTCTCATGACAGTGTCATGGTACGTATGTGTTAGAAGAGGTAAGAGGGTCGCTCCCCTACTAAGGTTTGAAGCTATAGACCCCTGCTTAGGTCCACTTGTTGGCAAACCTAGTGAAATAAGCCAAGGGGGTGTTGGCGAGGTATGGCTTAGGGGCTAGAAATTCTGATCTTTTATAGTCTTGATTAGGGGATTTGACCATGGATAAACTAAGGTTGACCCATGTGCGGATTCATATGTGTAAGTGTGGACACGAGATATGGGAGACCGATGTAGTGAGTAAAAAGTTAAGACCTCTGAGAAGGGGGATTGCAGACAAGGTTAGCAAGTGAAGATTGTGAATGATGTTTGCACGTCAGTCTTCCATACTAATGACATATCAGCAACATGCCATGTGTCGTCAATGCTTCCAGGAAGCTGTCATAGAAAGTATGTGTCTTTACTGAGT